ATGAATGCCGTACACGCTTCATACAGCGCGATTCGCATAGCTCTAAACGCGCAATTCGACATGCAATTCAACGTACAATCAGCCGCGGGATTCAACGCGCGCTTTGTTGCACAATTCGATGCGCGCTTCAAAACGCGCTTCCGCGTCGGAATGAATGCCGTACGCGCTTCATACAGCGCGATTCGCACAGCTCTAAACACGCAATTCGACGCGCAATTCAACGTACAATTAGCCGCGGAATTCAACGCGCACTTTAGCGCATAATTCGATGCGCACTTCATATGAATGCCGTACGCGCTTCATACAGCACGATTCACACAGCTCTAAATGCGCATTTCGATGCACAATTCAATGTACAATTAGCCGCGGAATTCAACGCGCGCTTTAGCGCATAATTTGATGCGCGTTTCAAACCGCGATTCCGCGTCGGAATGAATGCCGTACACGCTTCATACAGCGCGATTCGCATAGCTCTAAACGCGCAATTCGACATGCAATTCAACGTACAATCAGCCGCGGGATTCAACGCGCGCTTTGTGCAACGGACCCACCGAAAAACACCCATGCCCACACGACAGCACGACCCCGGGGACGCCTCACAGCCCCGAAGCCAAATCCATACGATATAAACCACTATCGCAATATGTACCCCATGACCAACGCGGCCGTACGGCATAGTATAGCGCGTACGGCATAGTGTAGCATAGCATAGCGCGTACGGCATAGCGTAGCATAGCATAGCGCGTACGGCATAGCGTAGCATAGCATAGCGCGTACGGCATAGCGTAGCATAGCATAGCGCGTACGGCATAGCGTAGCATATCATAGCGCGTACGGCATAGCATAGCGCGTACGGCATAGCGTAGCATAGCATAGCGCGTCCGGCATAGCATAGCGCGTACGGCATAGCATAGCGCGTACGGCATAGCGTAGCATAGCATAGCGTGTACGGCGTAGCATAGCATAGCATAGCGTGTACGGCATAGCATAGCGCGTACGGTATAGCGTAGCATAGCATAGCGTGTACGGCATAGCATAGCGCGTACGGCATAGCGTAGCATAGCATAGCGCGTACGGCATAACGTAGCATAGCATAGCGCGTACGGCATAGCATAGCGCGTACGGCATAGCGTGGCATAGCATAGCGCGT